ATGAGTCTTCTAGATACTTGATTTAACTTATAGAAATTGATAGATATCCTTAAAAGTCATCTTCATCAAATTTGAATACTACAATTGATTCAAATTCTTTTGAAATGGTCTATACAACTATTCCAAGATATACTTTAAGCAAAAATTCAACTTATACATTTTAAGTCACTGCAACTAATTTAAATTCTAACATATCTAATAATTTAAATTTTACTTTTGAAACTAAAATAGCTGGATTGTTTTGTTAGTTCAACAATCAAGGAATTTAGAATATTAGAAGAGATTTAAATCTCTAAATATAATGTGAAGATTTTGATTCAAAATATGAAGGGTAAAGTGATCCAGACTTAAATATTGAAGTAGCTTGTAAAGATTTATCATTTAATACTTCATGCAAAAATGAATAATAATAAATAATAAATGTGAATAAAACTGATTCTTTTCAATTCATTTAAAAGAATACAATATCCACCTTTACTGTCTAAGAATGGACAGTAACTGCTAAAAAATTTCAATAAATTTCTAATTTTGCTTTTGTTATTGTTTATCTTGATGATGATTTTCCTTAATTAGAATTATAATTCAATAAAGGTTATTTAATGAGGAAAATCAATAATTATGAATTACTAAATTTTACATATCTAATTCCTTTTGAAAAGAAAATTCATTTATTAGATCTAACAATTACAATTATTTATGACTATTAGATAATAGAAATATTGCAACCAAAATTTATTTCTCATCACTTCAAGATATTTAATAGCATTAAAGAATTAAATTTTGGCGACAAAATAAATCTTAAATTTGCAGCTTAATATACTAATAATATCATGCCAAGCATAAAAAATATAAAATTATCTATTAATTAGCCTGCTAAATGTTCTAAATTACTTATTAATCGTTAAAGCGACTTTGCACTTACTGATTTTTTAGTAGCAACAACTTGTGAATAATCAAATGATTCTCCTTATAAATATTAGCTTAGATAATTCTTGAGAGAATCTGATTTAACAGATTTTTTAAATGGAACATCAGATAATTCCTTAATTTTCTATCCATTTTAAACTTAAAATTAATTCTCAATTTAAGCTTCTTCTTCTGTTGACTCTACAAAAATTGGAATTTTATTAGAAGTTCTTGATAATGGGGGATCAATAACTCATACATTTGAAAAAATTTCAATTAAACCTGCAAAAATAAATTGTTTATCAATACAATTTAAAAATTTAACTTTATAAAACAAAATAACTCTTCTATTTGAAGCAATGAATCAAAAATGTGATGAGCTTCATTAATAAATTTATCTTGATTTGATCAAATCTTAAATTTTGCCAGAATAGAATGCGAATATCCTGAAATTTTAAGCTAATAAATTATATTAATAGTTCTTAATCTCTTCAGAAGAAATTAAAACTAAAAATCGGTTGTTGGATGAAGAAATTCAAAAAAAATGTTTAGATCTAAATTCAAACCATTTATTTATTACTTAAAATTCCGCATAACTTGAAGTAAATATAACTAAAAAGATAGAAAATTTCAAAAAAAATAGTGAAGATTTTGATAGAATTTAAAAATATTTTATTAAAATGAAAAAACAATGCGAATAGGAGCTTTAATAAAATTCATATATTTGGAATGAATAAATCTTTTAATAATATTTAAATTCGTAAGATTGCTTAAAAAGTTTAATATACTATCTTGATTATATCTATTCTGATTTTTCATTAATAAATATAAAAGATGAAACTATAGATCAAATTATTGAGGAGTTGTTAAGATTTTTTGATATAATTGCAGAAGAAACCCAAAATAGTATATTAGTAAACGAAAAGCCTTTAGTTCTTAAAGGAATTGAAATTATTTGGAAAATCAAAAGAAGAACTAAATAATTATTCAATCAATAATTTAATATCCACTAAACTTAAGAAGATTATCTTATTGATTTTATTTAATTTGAATAAGCTTATTTTTAAACAAATCCTCTAAGATTTAACTTGAATCTGGAAGAATTACTGAAAACATATTTTAATGACCAAACAATATAAATATTGACAGATAATTACTATCAAATTAAGTTAAAAAATTTTTATCATAGAAGCTTTTTAGAATATGAAAATTTTTCATCTATTTATGACACAAAATTTGGATCCTATCAAGTATGCTAAAATACATCATAATTCTTATCTGAATATGAAGTATATTGTGTAATTAGAACAATAACTGGAAAATTTTATTAGTGTAATTTGAATAGAGTATAAAATAACAATACAATTGAGTTACATTGTGAATGTGATAAGTTTGGTGAGATTTTCCTAACAACCTCTACGAAATCAATTTTAAATACAAGTGAATCTCATATATAAATATATAATCTTGAATTAGCTTCCAAATCTGAAGACATATTACCTTTATAACTTAGTACATGTTCTTTGACATTAATATTTCTGAGCTTTTTTATTTTTGAATTATATAAAGATAAAAAAGTCTAATAAGAAATGTCTGATACCTAATAAAGTAATTTGAGCCCACCAATCATATAAGAAAAAAGTAGTCTAATATATCATGGTACTTTAAAAGTGTATATAGAAAAATTTAAGGTAACATTTAATTTAATATTAGCAAATCCATTAAACTATTTCATTATTTTATTATAAAGACAAAAATATTGAATTTAGTTATAGAATTTTAGAAGTATTCTCTTAATTCAATTTATAATTAACTTTAACAATTATTGAATGTTATTTGTTAAATAATGAAGTTCTTTTGATTTGTGTTTTCATAATCCTCAACCCTTTAATCATTTTGTTGATGAGAATATTTTATAAAATAAATGAAGCAATATATAGGTTCAAAAGAATCGCTGCTTTTATTAGCCACCTTCTACAAATCATATTATTGATTTCCCCAAATCTTATCATCTATATATTTTACATATCAAAGTATCTATTAAACTATCATAGAATTTCAATGCAATCAGAATAATATATATTTGCCATTATATATTTAGGAAATATTCTGATTTCGCAAATCCTAATAGAACCGCTTACAGTATTTGGAAGAATATTAATTTATAGGTTAATAGCTAAAAGTCTTAAAAACAAGGATTTAAATCCTTTGTATCATTTAATGCACTTTTTTGTTATGCATAGCAGTTTAGAAGAAATATTTGAAGAATTCACAAAAATTTGATAATAAAATCATTCAAATATTTTTATTAATTTCATTTTCTATATTATTCATTTTAGTTATATTGCTATATTAATATAGATCTGTGCTCATTGAAAATTTTATTTTATTTAAAAATATCTGATGGCTAAGCTGATATCTCAGAAGCTTGAAATATTGTATTTAACTATGTCATCATAAAAGTTAAATTGAAAAGAGAATCTTCAATCATTATTATAATACTTATAATTTCCAATTCATATATATAAATAGAATGGAAATTTAAGATGTTGTTGTTAAAAAAGATGAATTAAAAATATCACCCTCCAAAATTTTTTTGAAACTCATTTAGTTTTGGAGGATTGGATCTAAAAAGATTAAGTTTTTTTAAATGGTCCCCATATAAAAATTAAATATATAATATAAGATGTTATTTTTAGATCTGGTTACTATAAGTTAAATTGGGAATTTATCTAATAGAAGCAGGACCATATATTAAACATCATTGTCAAACTTTTTAAAAGCCACACACATATAATACATTATAAAACTATTTCTGAGTTGGAAACTTAATTTAATAATAACCACAGCCAGAGAATTGCTTGGTAATCCATTCTTCAGGATGAATCATTAGAACGTAAACTCAATTAAAATGACACCATTCAATAGCCCAAACTAATTAACTTCACATGATCTTTCTACAATAAACAAGAGAGGAAATATTTTAGTAGTCACCAGTTTACAATTACATTAATATAATTATGGAACCAAAACTTTTAATTTCAGATACAAAAAAAGAACCACTGCTTTAATAACTCGACTAAAATTTTTATCATATATAATTGGGCTATATTCAGTCAGACCCTAACCCTCTTGATTTGAAAAACTTAAAGCTTTGATAGTTATTGCTTTAAAGTTTCTATTTTTAAATCTTATCACAGATTTTTTTTTTTGATTTAGTAAGTATTGTTTTTGAAGACTTCTGATTACACTATCGTTTTTTTAACAAAACTTCTGCCAATCAAAAGAGAAGTTCATTGAAAAACTTCATAATCCTATTTGGAATTTATAATTAAGATCAGATTCATTCTTATTTTGATGTGCCATTAAACATTAAACTAATAGTTCTATCTTCTGCTAATTCTAAATCTTGATATCAATACTCCAAATATTCAGCTTCATCTGGTGCTCTCACTTTTTCTTCTTTCAAAAATAAAAGACCCTTCCTTAATTTTATAACATCTTTATCTTAACAAGGAGGACATAAAGGCACTTCTCTTGAAATTTCATATCCAATCGGATGTGCTATGTTTCAAAAATATGTATTCCTTTCATTTTTAACTCTATCTAATTCAATTATTTGTCTACCGAATTTATTTTCGAATCTATCAAAATCTTGGACTTACTAAGAATCTTTCTCTATCAAATTCTAAATCGTTAATTCAATAGTCCCTTTAATAATATAATAATCTCTTAAATTCTGATTATCCGAATTTTTATTCATTCAATTCTCTTTAATAAAAAGAACTTATTCATATAAATCACTATAAAATTGATTTAATTAACCTTTTATCTTTATAATAAAATATAGCATCTCTTTGAATAATTTATTAAACTTCATATAGTTCTCCTACTTTATTATTTCTAAAATTATCACATACTTTTTTTATTAATTGATTTCATTAACTAAGATCATGCATCTTTCTTTAGTTTTTAAATGTTATTCTTCTTGTTTTTTTTAATCAATCTTAAATCCATTTAATATTTCATCACTTTCATTAGCTAAATTTTTATTTACCTTTATCTTAGCTTCAGCTTCTGGAGCAGATTGAATAATGATGTTTATTCTACCAGATTTTCATCTCTTATTTGATTTTTCTATTTTCGTATACCATTGCATTTTTTCATAAAAATGTTATCCTTCTGCTTTTAAAATGTAATTACTTCACTTTTCCTTTTAATAGCTTATTTTTAATTTAAACATTATCAACTCTTAAAGATATTGTCAATTATTCAAATTTACTTAATAGAGTTTTTTCCTTTTTTCCTTCTTTACTCTTTCAGCTTCCTTCATTTATGCTAAAGTTGAGGATGGTTATGAATATTAATCTGTTTACATTTTTTCAATACTCCTTTCCATTTTTTAGAATCTTGAGGTTGTGATTATTTAAATATAGTTTTTTTTTAATCTATATTTTAATCTTATTTTTAATTTTATTTCGTTTCTAATTCTTTCTATTTTAATTTGAGTTCTAATTCTATTTTTCTTTACTTTAATTTCATTAATTCATCTTAGTTTATTCTAGCAAAAGATTTTCGTCAAGGTAACCTAGATGGAGAATATTCTTAAGCGTAGTATATTTAATTAAGAAATTTATTTTTTCTGTTAAAATAATATTCCTCATTATCTCAAAACAAATAAAATAAAGTATGAATCAAAAAGAATCAATAAATAAACAAATTAAATTTAATATTTCATCCATTTGCAGCTGTTTACAATCTTTACTTTTTAATTTTACCTCCTTTTAATTTCTTAAAACCATATCGCTCTTTATATATTAAATATTTATATTTATAAAATCTTACTTCAATTATTATCAAGAGCATCTGGTTATTCTAACTTCTTTATCTCATTACTGCTATCTATTATTCTATAATAATCTAATCTTTATAAATATATTTTGTACTTAATTTCCCATATTGTTATTACTAATATAAAAAGTACTCATTCTCTCTGTCATTTTTATTCATCATTAGGTTTTTTTTATTTAAGTTTCTTCACTATAAACCTTTTCAAATTACCATGTTCTCCTTCTTCTAAATCTCAATATAAAAAAATTACTTCTTTAACATGCCTTATTCCTACTTATGGTTCTCTATAAATCAGGTGAATTGTCATTCATTCTTAGAAATTGGAAATGGGAAAAGTCCCTCTAAAAAATTGAAGACAATGAATTTATCATTTATGGATTTATATTAAACTCAATTGATTGACCTGGTTCAGTTATTAATAATTAATCTGAGTAGACCCCAGGTGCAGGAGTATGATTCTATCATTACTTAAATACTTCAAAATATACATCTTTATAGAAATGTTCTCTCCTAGAAGTTAAAAAGGCTCTGCTAAATTGAGTTTTCGGAACATACTTTTTTTTTATTCTTTAAACTCTTTAATGAAACCTTAATCAGCTTAAAAATTGATTTTAAAATTTCTGAGCCTTTATTAAAAGAGATAGCTTAAACTTGTGGAGTTATATCTTTTTTTTTAAGAAAGAGTATATTAGTAGTAGTACTTCACTTAAAAGTATGATTTATAAATGGCACAGTTTCTTTCTAGTATGCAAATCTACTTATTAACCTAAATGAAAATGAAATTTAGATGTATTATCATCACTTTTGGTTCTTTAAATTCGTTTCCAATAGAGTTTCTTTCATTTCAGAAGGGTTAGAAATTATTCTTTGGATTAACTTTACTTAAAATTATTGATAATTTTAGACTAAATACAAATAGCTGGCAATTAATTGGAGACAACAACTTTATTATAATAAATTATATCAATTATACTATGATCTATGCGAAATATTTTTTCTAAAATTTATGATATCATAATTTTTATTGTAAATCTTTTAATATTGATACATAATCAAAATTAGGAGAATTCTTTTGGAGCATTCTTTCAGTGTAAGAAGTAAAATTTATCAAGAAAATTTATGATTATATAATACTCTTCATTTTGTTTAATTTGTCTTTTTAGGTCATATTACTAAGACATCACATGAATTGACTCTAAAGATTAAAAAAAAATATGATTTATAAGAAGGTAGAAACAATTAATAAAATTGTAAGCTATGTTAAAACTTTAAACATTATTTTTTTTTATTTTTATCCTTCTTGCCAAAAAATCTTATGTTTAAAAATAATAGTCCGAGGAAGAATAAGAGATCAAATTCTAAGAAATTTGCCTAAAATCAGGGATCTAAATCATTTAACCTATAGGAAGAGGGTTCAATGAGAGAAGATCTATCTCCTCTTGGTTTGGGTTTGGGTTTGGGGTTTGGGGTTGGGTTTGGGTTTGGGTTTGGGTTTGGGTTTGGGTTTGGGG